TAAATATTTTTTGACATCCGCCCACTTCTTGTCGTTGATTCAATTTTGTGTGCAAGAACCACCAGTTTAATCCCGGATCTCGTGCCTTCAAAGGTCCCGTAGTCAACCTCATACCCATTTGTTCAAGAGCGAACGGCGGGACGCGAAAGCACAGTAATGTCGATGTCTCTTCATCGAAGTCAGTACGTCGACTATAACGAGTCTTATCAGTGGGACGGAACTCGTATTTAAAACGAGGAAATCATTTTTCAGCGCTCTTTCAAGCAGTGAAGCTTTCTGTATATAAGCCGTCAATGTTTCGGCTCATTTCCGTTACGATCAAGGCCTGCCGCAACGTTGGGATAATTTCAAAAATTTTACGCATTCCCTACAGAAGCCGATACGACCCCCTCCCCATACCACCACATAAGAGGGGTCACCCACAAAACGATCCTCCAACGTTCCACCCCAACCAGCACCCTCATCATCACTACTGTTTTCATATCAGCGGTGACCAAAAAAAGAGACACTTTGTCCATGGCGCACATCATCAAACTTTTCATCGCACAGGAGTGCCGCTGTTGATGAAAGTTTTACGGCAAAATATCCTTAGATGTCCTCCATAAGAAGCAGGCCCTCTTCCACTGCCCTCACCGTCCTCAAAATATGACGTCATCTTCCATCACCGTTGAGCTCAAGAAGGCCTACCGTAATCGTTCCAGCCTGAAGCTGCTACGAATTTCTTTAATCGGTTAACTTGATTGCTTCCTAGGGACAGTAGCTCTAAATATGCAAGACCCTTCCGACCAGCGTTTCAGATAACGTCGTAAAGGTCCATGATCCGCCGAGGACCAGTTGAGCTCGAACCGTGCACAAGGTTCCCATGGCAAATTCTTGTGATGTCCTTGGTGCAGAAAGCTATTATAACGTTTATTGATAGATTGGGATGTGCTCTTTAATACTAAGTTGGGAGCAGTCGGTTTGAGTTTAGCAAAGTGTGATTAATGCTGTCTGAAATGTGGAGTGAAGTGTCTCTTTTTTTGGCCACCCCTGTATACTATCTGAGTTTCTCTTTTCAGTAACACTATCTCCCAATATCGATCTCCAGAACCACCTCTGAAAATCTTAAATACGACCCCCTCATGTTACCAACACACGAAGCCCAGAATCGGGCACTCCTTCGAAAACCCTAAACACTATCCCGTCGTCGGTAAACTACCACCGGACGTTTGAAAGCCTGCAACATGTACCACAATTACATTCGAGAAGCAGGACCTTAGAGGGCCAATCCTGGCCCTGAGATTCTAGCAGCCTCTCCCGAGCGGTCCTACCCAACGCTGCCGTATTGGGGGCTCCCTCAGGTTCAGGGGAATGAGGCCCATCCATATTGCTGTTTTCGGCATATTGAAGGCACACGAGTAGCTTGCCAGGCTCTGTCGTGCGGGCTAGGATAGACCTCCAGGTAGTTAGCCACGCTATCCTGGAGCGGAACAAGGGGCTTAGTTTTTAAGGTGCACCATGGAATCGCTTCCCATGTACTTCCCAGTCACTTGAATGCAAGCTTTTGGCTGTGCCGACATGCAGGATACCAACCGCACACACACAGAGCGCACCACACACGCAAGCATGCATGGATGCGCCTGAGTGGAGACAGCTGGTATGAATCAACACAGCACTACAGAAACAGGGAGTCCATCCCCTGAATCCACCTGCGTCTCAGGGCAAGTACATGGTGGCTTTTGGTCCGCGATTTACCCCCTATCCGCCACCTGGGGTCGCGCCACGTAGCCTCGCCACCAACCGGCTCGAGATCTTTCAGTGAGAGAGGACCCTCAGTGAAAGAGTTTCAGAAGTAGTTAAACAGTCATATTTCAAGAATTCGAAAGACCAAGGAGAATGCTGACTAGAGAAATATTGTAGCCCTGGTCTTACTCATTTTTCGGTGACTAATCTCGCGTGGAAAGTGAAAAGAAAACGCACGAATCTATCTGACTACTTAACAACTTGATGTTTTGATTCGATTTGACTAATTCAAGCAACGTTCATGTTTTTTCACTGCTTTCCCTGGCACTGCTGCTACATCTACGGCAGTTTCTTTCTTTTTTTGTTCGACAAATTTCAGCCGCTGCCCCCTCATGGCTGCCTTTCGCTGTCACCTAAATAAGATACCACTCATTTACTCAAGGCAAGTCTAGGACTAAGCGTTGGCCCAATCATAGGCTCAGCACAAGCCAATGGATAAGCACAAGCTTAAGTTCAAGCCCAAGCAATTGAACGTCTACCCTTCCCCCCCCCCCACCAACTTTCGTTTTGAAGTTCCAAGTGCTTCTGCACGGCAACAGCCGTTTTGGGAAGACCAGCCGTTTTTCAGTCGTGGATGCTACGCTGTGAAGCCTCTCTTTTGCACGGTGTGACAGTTCATCAAACACTCGCCTCAGTTTTTTCAGTGAACTTGATTTCCATTTCAATACACGAGGCAAACCGGAAAACTGCGTAAATTTCACAAGATCGTCGGCAAACCTAAAAAAGCGCGCCTCTTTTGACCTGTCCTGGATTACACATGTGGTTGTATATAAGCTGGGGCGGGCTTCAGATGGCATCAGCATGACTCGATTGACTAACAGTCTCGTTGGAACTACCGCAGCCACCTCGGCTGTTCTGATCGTCGTCGCCGTGTTCTCCGTGGGCTATGTGGTTAACGACCTCAACAACTTCTATAGCGATTCTGTACAGAGGATTGAAGAATTCAAGGTAAGAACAGCATTTTTCCGTCCTCAAGAACCCTACTGAGTTTGTAAATTTCAGAGTGTTGCTGACGATGCATGGGAGAAGATGATCCAAATAGACGGAGGAGCGCGATTTGCTCGTCAAGCTTACGGTGACAGTGGAGTGGATAATGAACCCGAAGTCACGAAACCGACTAATGGACCGCAGCCAGACTCTTGCCCAGTAGGCCCTCCAGGTCCACCTGGAGCTCCGGGAGAGCCCGGAGCCGATGGAGATAGAGGACAAGACGGCAACCCTGGTGTTGATGGTACCGGCTCCGCAACCATAGACGCATACACTCAAGAATGCACCGTTTGTCCTGCTGGTCCCCCAGGACCACCTGGACCCGATGGACATCCAGGAAGCCCCGGCCCTGACGGAAATCCCGGCACCGTTGGTGAAGCTGCACACGATGGAACTCCAGGGGAACCAGGGCCTAGTGGAGATC